TGTGGGGAAATGCTTCTACTCACATATAATATGCATCCCTTGTTTGGTAATCAAACCCTAAAATGTACATCTACAATTTTATTATGGCCAGCATTTCATACTCTTATAAAAAAAAATGATTTGAAACATAGAATAATATTATTCTAATTTAGTTTTATGGTAATTCTTAATTTATTTTACATTTGTATTGTTAGGTACATATGATTGTATCTGACATCTTTATGTGGTCACAATCATCGAATGTTAGTGTCAAATTGTCATGTTTGTGGTGAGTAGTCATTTTACAACAGAAATTGACCTATGAAATGGCAATTTTTTAAAGATTTTTTTTGTAGCTGTGCATAATATGCACCCCTAATTTTGCTTATTTTTTTTAGAAAAAAAAATGTATAACTTTAACTTTAGACCAGACTTATTGGAAGTGGAAACAAGATTCAGACAACTTAAGACTATTAGGTCTTATTATTACTAGGTGTACACACGTAAAAGAAATAAGATGAAAGACAAATCAAAAATTAATAATAGCTAACTTAAAAGCCACCCTATTGATTAGGAATTTCAGAGTTCCTAAGTCTTGGCATATTCTCAGTATTGGAAGGCTCTCCTGGCTGTCGTTTGATCTGGGTTTTCATTTGCATGGAACTTTCTTTTCCTTGCTACAGCCCTCTCTTTTGATTGCAATTTGGTCCTCTGTTGGTGGAGATTTCTTTTTGTGGGCCTTACTGTTACCATAAGCAATGGCAACAAAAAAACAACAGAACAACTCAAAATTAATTGTTGCATTTAAGTATTGCATTAATATTTAAGCTTACCTTTTAAAAGTTCAATGATAATTCTTCTTAATTTAAAGACAATTTGATTTGTGTAGGTCCTTACTTTCAATACGAACAATTATTTTTATTTCATGGGCGACTTTCACTGGATTTCGTAATTAATTTTGATTATTTCCAAATTATAAAATTTGTTATTGCACAAAAACATTTTGGGCAAAAAAATCATGTGAAAAAAAAAAAAAAAAAAAAAAAAAATCGCTGAAAACAATTGCAGTAATGAAAACTTGGGAATACAAAATTTCTGTAACGAGCTATTGAAAGTTAGAGTTGTGTCCCTTTAACTGAAAAAAGTGTGACAGTGACACACTGACATTCACATTTATTATATAGATGACAATGCTTTATCTAAGAGATTCACACAATTTCAGACTATTATGTCTTATTGCAAGGAGGTGTAAACAAGCAAGAGAAATAAGATGAAAGAAAGACGAGTCAAATATGAATAATAATGACAAGGCTTGATCTAAGAAATTCACACAACTTCAGACTATTATGTCTTATTGTTAGGAGGTGGAAACAAGCAAGTACAAAGAGAAACAGGGAAGAAAAACAAGTTAAAAAAATACTTCTAAAATGCAATCAAGATTGTTATTTTCTCTTTTATAGTTAAATAATAAATCAATCATTAAAATGAATGAAAGCAATTAAAAGAAACAAAAACATTTTACCTCATCTTCTATGTGCTATATCCCTTCAGAACATAGGGGGTCATAACTCTCCACAACTTCTCTTGTGACCCTTAGCAGTTTTCTCTTTTTGCTAAGGCTTCATTCCCTGTTCCACCATCTATTCACACAAGTTTGTCAAGTGGCTCACTATTGACCTATTGCCCTCAATATGCCTTGTGAGGATTAAGTTTTCCAAGCTCTCTTTCCTCATATGTACAAGGAATTTCAACTATCTTTTCCTGATTCTGAGCAGAAATGTTCTTTTTGTTGCCATTTTTCTTAAAGACTTTCTTGTCGCTTACTTGCTCCATCTGTGGAACCCAATTTCTGTTGTCTCTAGTTTTTTTTCATTGTGGAGAGATTGTTCAATATTCACTGTTATATGATAGGATGGATATCACATGGAAACAAAGAAATGAGTGCTAGAGTGCTAACAAAATTTTTGTTTCTCTGTACGTTAGCTTTTGGAATACATATTTCGCTAGTACAATGCGCGTTTCTATCCTCTGTTAAAACACTTCCCAGACATTCAAACTTCTACACTTGCTTGATGTCGACATCTCCAATTCATAACTTGCATCTTGATTTTTTTCTCTTGCTGATGACTGCACTTTGTCTTCTTGCAGTTGATGGTCAGTACTTTATTTTTTGCTTTCATCTACCCCTCCTTGTCTAGATCCAGTAATTTCTTTTCAGAGTCAGCCATCAACACAGTGTCATGTGCAGCAGGATAATACCTGCCGACATCATGTCTATGCTTTCAACATGCTCTAAAAAAAAACAAAAAAAATAAAAAAACAACCCCAAAAAACAGCCTTCAAATATAAAATAAACATAACGACTTTGATAATAAAAACCCTTGCTTGTGATAACCCAAGTCAAATTACGAAAGTGGATTAAAATTTTAATCCTATTTCAAGATTAGGATCAGAATCAGAATCAGATTTTACCTTCCAACAAATTATTTTAAGAATTAAAAAAAAAAAAAAAAGAAAAAAAAAAGTTCCTTCTTTTAGAAAGCACAGGAAAAAAAAGAAAAAAAAGATAGTTGTCCTTTTATTTACAACTTATTCTTATTTTGTAAGCTGTCAATCTTTACAATCATTCATTGAAGACTTGTAAAAATATTGACTGCAAAATGAAAAGGTTACTCTTTCCCCTTCAAGATTATAATTTCATCTTTTTCTTTTTTGCTTCATTTCCTTCAAGTTGAACTGGATAAATTCTCTTCCCCCTCCCCAGCATTAAGTCCAGAATCTAAATGTCCTTCAAGATGATTGGACAATTTAACATGCTGATTTCCTGTCACCCGCCACATCTGGCATCCGGAATAAGCTGATTGGTCAATAAAAATAAAAAAATAAATTAAAAACAAAAAAAAGTCAAACAAGAAAGAAATAGAAATTATTTTTCACTTTTTTTTTTTTTTTTTAATAATTTCTAAACAGTTGAGAAAATATAGTCTTAAAATTTTTTTTTTTTTTAAAAAGAAAAAGTTTGCTAACTTTATGTTAAAGAATGTGGGGCATTTCTCATTTCTGTGACAGAAAGAGAAATTGTTTTGGTGTGTGTGTGTGTGTGTGTCAGAGTAAATAAAGATTAAAAAAATGAATAAGTATTGTTAGGGAGGGAGGGAGGGAGAGTTAAATAAGACAAAGTTGGGGCTTGGGTCCTTCAGGCAGGCAAGCAACAACAATCATGTAAGAGTAACGTGATAACAATAACAATTTTGAAGAAGGCTTAACACTTAAAAATCGGAAAGAGAGAGGGGAAAAGAGGAGCATGAGAAAAAAAAATGGAATGAGGAACGAGAGGTTAATAAGAAGACCACAACTTTCAAAGCAAATTTATATTTTACACATGTATACATACACTATTTGCATATTTCTTCAAAAGTGATCTGAGCCAGATTGGTTCAAGTGAATACAGATAAGGTTTATCAATGTAGTGCAGACTTAACCAAACATTCATACAGTAAATATATAGCAAATACAGGATTTGCTATATGTTATGGCAAACATTCTGAAGTTATTAAATTAAAAATACTATTTGTAAAAAATATCAATATATGATAGCTTTTTTTTTTTTTTAAAGATTCTCTCTAGAAATAATAAACTGTTTGAATCACAAAAATCTTGGCGAACACAGACAAACATGCTTATACGTTTTCTTTGAGAATTGACAACAAAAATAAGATTGTTTTACACTATTTATCAATTATATTATTTATTGGTTGGCAAAACATTGGCTAAATGCCAAGTGATTCAAACTTTATAAAATGGTAAATAAGGATTTCCTTATAGTTGGTTCACATATTTTTAAAATTTAGAAAATGTTCATATTTATTTCTTTATAAATCAATAAATGATAAATGTTGCATTAGTTCTAAATGTATTGGTTTTTTAGAATGTTGTAAATATAAAATTATTCTTGAAAATAAAAATTCTCAAGAACAAAAAAATGTATACATTCACTTTCATGTTTAGCTTTTATTACAATTGTAATCATTGCCTTTTTAAAACAATAAACATTGCCAAAGAATGAATGTAGATAAAAAATGGTGTAAATGAGGAAAAAAACAGTCCTTTTGACACATCATATTGTAGGCATTTTTATCCATGTTTGCCAAAATCTTTTTGAATTAAAAAAGAAACAGCTATTAAGTAACATAAAATGCAACAAAGTTTTTAATGTATTTTCATTTATGAAAATGAGATATTAGGCATTTTTTCTTTTATTAAAGGCTTAAAAAACCTGAGGCACATTGGTAAAAGTTGTAGACATCATCAAATGCCTAGATCTTCCTCTAATTGCAAAGGAGAGATGGTAACTTACTTAAAAGTGAGAAGCAATATCGGAAAAATTTAGTTTGAGAAGAATAGATTTATAAATAATGATAGCTAGTAAAATTAGTCAAAATTTACCAAAGACAACGTTTAAAACATTCTATTCATCTTGTAAATACTTGACTGCAGTAATTCAGTTACTATTTTTTTTTTTTAAATCCTGTTGCAACTTACTCAAGATAGAGAAATTGCAGTTTAAAAAAAAAAAAAAAATTAAAAATGATTTTCTTAGTGTTAAAATTTTTTCAGCAAGAATTCAGCTGCTAGTTGGTTAATTTGACTAATAACACATAATTTCTGCTAAAACAGTTTAACATTAAAAAAAAAAAAAAATTTGGTATTACAGACTAATGTTTTATATACATGCAAAATTTTATTGATTTATTTTTTTATGAGTTATCAACTTTTTGCAGGTTATTTAAAGCCAGAAAATACTTTTTTATATTGTAAGAATTTTTTGGACAACAATAATAGTTTACCGATACAAGCCCTACTAATTAACACATAGCTTTGGGGTAAAGAGTTGGGTTCATGTCTTTTCCAAGGGTATTTTTGCACGTAAGTGAATATAACAAACATGACTGGAATTGAGGCTTGGCTCATTGATTTCCAATTCTGAGCCATTATCCATTACACCACCGGTACATCCAAGTTTACAACATCTGATATTCCCAAGCAGTCACACATCTAAGTACTGACCAGTCTCGACATTTCTTGACTTCAGTGATTGTACAGGAACCGATGTTTCAATTTGATATGGCCATAAGCTCGAAGAAAGAGAGACAAAAGGAAAACTATGACAAGAAAAACAGGTTTGTCTAATCTTAGCATATTGAATGTGTACAGTCAGATTGTGTGTGTGTGTGTGTGTGTGCGTAATTTGTAAAAGATATTTTGGTCATCAAGTCAGACAAAGATAAAATAAGGATTAATCTGAAACTTTTTTTGGTAGTTACCTATCAATTATTTTACCTGATGTCGATTATTCTATTTATATACAGTTAGTTGCAAAAAAAAAAAAAAAAAAAAAGAACACTGGATACAGTAGGGTGAAAACACGAAAAGTCACCCTGACTAGTTTACCCAATCTTTAGGATGCTACTATTTTTGTCAACCAGTGTACAAATCCAGTAATTATTTATAATCGAATATAGATAAAGCCATTTAAATAACTTTATTAATTTTAACTCAATCATGTGTATATCCTGGAAGAATATTTTTTTTTCTGCCGATAACAAAAATACGCATCTAATTGTCTTTTTTGTCATAAAATAATTGACATATCAATTTTTCTGATTGACAAATCAAAGAAAAGTATTTTAAGATTTTCTATCAACAGAAGAAAATATACAGAGTGGTGGGCATAAAAATGTGAACATAAACACTGACAGTCAACAATCTAATTCTTCTCACAATGTTGTTGTCTTGGCTCACATGAATTACGCAAATGTCTATATTTGTAGATATGTGGTAACAGGACTGTTTGAAAAGATAGAAATATTTCAAGCAACCACTTTCTACAGTGTATGCATTCATGCATAAGAAAATGTACCACACACAAAAATAGGAATACTATACATGTACACACACACACAAAGGAGGAAGAAAAAAAATCAACCAACCACCAATAAAAAGGATATAAATTATTACTTTTTTTTTTAACTTAATATAAAAGTAACGATGAGTAAATCAGCAGACAATTACTGATGCCTCCTGATGAGTGGACCAAATGATTACAAAAAAGTTTGTCTACAAAACTCTGAAATTAGGATGGTGAATATATCTAAATGACAAGTTTTATATTTGTATTAATCATATATATATATATATATTTATATAAATAAAAAAAAAAAAGGCTCAAACACTTATGTTCCATAATTTATTACATTGGAATCGTAATCACAATCCAATTCATCAGAACTACAAATTCAAAAAGAAAACCACTATTATTTTTATATATATATATATATATATACATAAACCTTGAATTAATGTCCTTTAAGGAATATTGGATTTAAGGAACAACTCATGGATGCCATCAGCTATAATGAACTGACTTTTTTATTTTTACAAAATGAAGTTACCTAAATTTTAGCATAAATCATTCATTCAGTCCATATTACTAGGTACATGTCAACCTTAGCTATAAATAACAAACACTACTTGGCAACAGTGTGTGTGTGTGTGTGTGTGTGTGTGTGTGTGTGAGAGAGACAGTCAGCTTGATGTTTTGCGTTTTTATATATATAAAATGTTAAAAGTGTGTGTATATATATATATATATATATATATATATATATATATATATATGTGTGTATGTATGTATGCGCAGTACTTATTAGAAAGCACTCAATATCAGAAATAGAGCTAACATATTTGGTTGGATTGATATGAGTTTGTGACCTAGTGTTTCACACTTTCGTAATTGTCAGATAAACCCGTTTGTTCGTTTGTCTGACGATTGCAAAAGCGTGAAACCCAGGGTCACAAACTCACATCAATCCAACCAAATATATATATATATATATATATATATATATATAATATCTATTTGTATAAAAAGTCAATGTTAATATCATTTTTGATTCCTTAGTTTACTTAAAGAAAATTTAAAAAATGTGAAGGTAATGGAATTATTTACATAAAACCAAAATGCAGCTGAAAGGTCCCAGAAATATCAATTATTCAATGTTTCAGAATACACAGCATACAAAAACAATTTTTTTTTTTTTTGTTTATGATATCCAACTTACAAGTTACTTTTGTAGAGATAAGCTTAAAAATATGTTTAACTCTTTGTTAGTATCATGGTAAGTTAATTGTTCATGATGAGTCAAGTAGCTTTCTTAATACAAGGAGTTCCTGGTTTTAGTCATAATAATATTTATGTGAATTACAAAGTTTAATTTGTTTACTGAAAATTAACAAAATCTTATTTTTACATGTTTAAATTTTTGAAACTTATAAAGTCATTTTTCAATACTGTCCTGTCAATTTATTAAAATAAAACTTTTTCATTCTTATGACGTTTCCGCCATTGTGTCCTCTGGCCTTCCTTAGGTGTATATCTATCTGGGTTACCTACAGGGAATTCTGATCTGAACCCTTTGGAATGAGAGCAGTCTACTCCTGTAGATTAAATAAAGGGTTCAGTTCAGAATTCTCTGTAAGTTACCTAGATCAATATATATCTCAGGAAAGTTGATGGGCACAATGGCTGAAATGTCAGGGTAACAACAAAGATGAGGACAATAGTCTGAATATAAATAATGATAACTCCTAATTGCAGAAATTCAGGTGGAAGAAAATCTAGAACTAAATTAATTGTGAAAACAACCAAAAGAAATCTCTCAAATTAAAAAGAATAATCAGCAGAATTTTTTTTTTTTTTTGGAAATGTGTTGCTTACGCTCAAAATACAAAAAATAAATTTTTTTAGTTTATACTAAGAAATGTTGGTAATTTTAAAATGTGCAACAGAAGATTTTTTTTTTCTTTTAAATTTCACAACTATTGAAAATTTTGCTAGTAAAAGTTTAATACTCTTATATTGAATAATGTTTGTGTTCATGGAGAAAATGTTTGATCATAAATATTGGGATGGCCAAAAACATTTTTTGCTTATTAAGTAGAAAATTAAAACTGAACAAACTTTTTGGCCAACCCAATATTTAATTACGATCAAACATTTTCTCCATGAACACAAACATTATTCAACATAAGAGTATTAAACTTTTACAAGTATTTGTGGGATGGATATAATCTTCACACTTACAAAATTCAGGAAAAAACAAAAGATAAAATCCTACTAGAAGAACGGAGCCCGCCCACCAACATTAGGAGTTTATCTGAAAATAATCTCATACATACATCAGGGAGCAGCTACTAATTTTTACTATATTATATAAAAGATATATAAAAAAAGGCATACATCAGGCTAATTATAGGTAAGTGAGATGAAAGTATTGAACTTGCTTAAAAAGCAGCCAATCAGAGATTTTCATTTGATTTTTCTTCCATCAACTAAACAGTCCATCAGAAATGATAATTTCCTGAAGTGTTACATTTTGATTACCTTAAAAAGGATGTATGTCACTTAATAAAAATAGCGAATCCAGCAGCTTTGGTTAGACAAAAAAAAAAAAAAAAAAGAATTGTTTTTTATTAAAAAAGAAATGGTTAAATTATAAGAAAACCATTCACGGTAGGAGAGAGAAAAAAAAATACAATGCACACAAAATCAATGAGAGAAGACAAATACTGAATCAACTGGTGTGCTTATCGAAAAGAGATGTGATATGAAAATAATTTTATATCACACAAGTAGCTCAAGAGGCTGACCCCTTAACCAAAACAGATGGAAGAGTTAGAACTGTGATTCCCAAACTTTTTTTTTCTCTGAATGAAAATTTGCTCATGCCTCACCAAATTTTATGTGATAAAAAGTACATTTAAAAATAAAAAGCAGAAAGAGTGTTAAAGGGAGATAACTGCAGATTTGAAGTCAGAATATTATCATTATTAACTCTCTCCTCCAATTTGCAGACCCTAGTTACTATATTCTTAATACTTGATATAATGTAAAAATTATTACAATGATAAAATTGGTCAGTAATTATAATTATTTATATTGGGACTCATGCATGCAATTACAAGTAATCCATAATAATATTCTAAATTTTGAAATCATATTTTTGGCAGATGAATTTTTTGAAACTGTCTTACAATCATTCTGCCTCACCTGCTATCCTCATCCGCAGCACTTATGAGGAGTGCCACACCATTTGGAAACCACTGAGTTAGAATATACAACTTAGGGCTGCAATGAATTGTAAGTTTGGAAGTAAATCTGATTTTATTGAGGGACTTAACATTTAACTAAAGAAAGTGGTTTAGCGAACAATGTCTCTTGAAAAAGACAAAACCCCAGAATGACTTTTTCTTAAGAATAACTTGTTCTGCTCCTGATGCAAGGCAAGGGGAGTGATAATAAAACTGAATTTGTTGACCTCATGAACATCCTAAGATTATTAATTTTTGGTATATGAAAGAAAATGCACATATCAGGTTAACTATAGGTAAGCGAATGACAAGATGGAATAATTTATTAGTGATGCATTTTGTTGCAAGAACTTCTTTGCACTAATTAGTATGATATAGTTTTTGTTCCTTCTTGAAACAAGGTTTAACTAACAAGATTTTCCACCTTGTCATTCCCTTACCCACAAATATGTACTATATATATATATATATATATTATTTACAGTAAGTCCCTGGGTTATGATGATTTATGATTATGATGTTATATCTGCTAATCTTGTTATGACATGCTGTTTGCCTTAAATAAACAACATGGCAGAATATGTTGCCATATGCCACTAGAGTGAGGAAGGCAGCATGGACCAGTTCCTGGTTGTGCACAATGTTGGACTGTTCTGCATTTTGGTCTCTTGTCTGTGAAAACTTATTGCCCTTCATTATAGCCCCCCCACCCCGTGTGTATATATATATATATTTTTGTTTAAAAAACAAAGCTTCTACTCAAATATTTTTTATCAAAAATAATGTTTAAACAAAATAATATATATATATATATATATATATATATATATATATATATATATATATATATACACACACACACACACACATGTATGTATGTACGATTCCATTAAAATAAAGTTCATGGTACATACTGGAGGCTATCTTAGTGTTTTTTGATTCCCAACTCCTCACGACCCATTCAAGAATGATTGTATTAACTAT